CGAAAAACTTGCAACATCCTGAACACCACGCCCGGACCCTCAAGCATCATCTTGCCGCGTCATGTTTCGAACCGGATCGATCTGTGAGGGTCCCGGGGCCCGAAACGAATGGGAAAACGCCCAGCTCGAAAAAAATGAGACGCCCAGTAGGGAGACAAACTCTCTCTCTCTCACACTCTTTTTTTTTTTTTTTATATATAAGATATATATATATATATATAGATATATATATATATATATTATATGTGTGTGTGTGTGTGTGTGTGTATGTACCTACACTTGCTCCCGGCCCTGCGCTGACATTTGCACAGGAAAGCGGATCCTGGTGTATACGGGGTCCTGGCGTTTGTAATTGTATATATACATACATACAAACATACATACATACATGCATGCGTGCATACATGCATGCATGCATGCACATATACATACATACGTACGTACATACATACACACATGCATACACACATACATACACACATGCATACATAACATATAATATTCTATAATGTAATATAATGGAATATAATATAATGTAATATCATATAATGTAATACAAAAATATTCCAATATTACGTAATATATTATAAATTAACATAATAGCTTATAATATGTTACCATATACGATGATAAAATAAAGTTAATATAATATGATATAATATCATATATTATAATTCAATGATATATAGATATATAGTATATTAATATACCTTATAACATCATAAAATGCAATATAATAAAATATAATATACTATAGTATAATATAATGAACTATAATATAATATAATGTAATATTATGTATATGCAACGTTTTCCCGGGAGACGGCTAAATACATATACCCCACACGGCCCCCACATTATCCCCGATCCTGAACAAGTCCTGGAATTGACAAATAGCCTGCCACTGGTCATGTACCCAGACATGCGACGTCCTGATTTTTTCAGGACGGCGTCCCTGGAAGTCCCGATCCTTTCCCCGAGACCGACTTCTTTGTCCCGAGTCGTTCCTTGACGGTGCCGAGGCCCGGCGAAGGCCCCCTGGAGCCGAAGGTAGCCCAAAACCTCCCCTCCCGAGTCTCTTTACGACGCGACCATGTCTGGGCATCTGTCCCAGCTTCCGACCAGGATCTCTCGGGAGCGGCCAAGAGGGGGGTGTCCAAGAGGGGGGGGGTGCAAATCATGACCCGCAGCATGTGCGCGGCCCAGCGGGGGGGCCAGGGACGTGATGAAACAAGAAGGGGCGCCATGACATCCGGGGAAACATCATATGACCCGCGCCATGAGATCCACCCCCTCCGAGTCATCACCCCCCTCTTTTCCGCCCCCGAATCTCAGAGCATGGCGATCCGAAGGCCGCCCAGCGGGCCGTAGCCGCCCGCCGGGGCCCGGGCCGGCCCTGCGGCCGGCCCTGCAGGCGCCGCAGCGGCGGGCGCGGCGGCTCCGGGCGGGCGCCGCCGCGGTCGCCGTCGGGCTCTCGGGGCGCCTGCAGCGGCCGAGGCGGGGCGGGGCGGAGGGGCAGCCGCTGGTGCGGCCGCTGGTGGGGCGGCTGCCGCTGCAGCTGCGGGGGCTGCTGCGGGCCGCGGCCGCGGCTGCGGTGGCAGCGGCTCCTTCTGGAGCTGCTGCGGCTGCTGCGGCTGCTGCTGCGGCTGCAGCTCCTGATGCTGCAGCTGCAGCAGCCGCTGCTCCAGGCTCTGCTGGAGGTCCTGCTGCTGGGAGGAAGGGATAATGCCCGCGTCCTCGTCCTCCTCCTCGTCTTCCTCTTCTTGGGCCCCCTCCTCCGCCTCCTCCTCCCCTGCCTCCCTCCCTCCTTTGTGTATGTTGTTAAGTTTGTCCTCCCTCCCTCTCCGTCCTCCATCCAACCTCCTCCTCCTCCTCCTCCTCCTCTCCTCCTCCTCCTCCTCCTCCTCCTCCTCCTCCTCCTCCCTCTCGTCACACTCCCTGTTCCTCCCCTCTCCTGCGTTCCTTCCCCTCTCTCCTCCCCGCCCCCCTCGATGCTCGACCCTCCCTGGCCACCCCTCCGCCGCCTCCTGCGCCTCCTGTCAGGTCGGACGACAGGGGAGCTAATAGCAAGTGGAGGGTGATCGAACCGACTCACATGGCTACTCCAGATTTCGTAATAAAGGGAGGGGGGTCTTATTTCCGGGGGGGGGGTCTCTTCCAGGCTACGGTAGGTTTGTGTCGTGACGACTCGGCGCAAGGTAAATGACTCGAGCAAAATCATTCAATATTAAATTCATTGCGCGCCTAAATTACTCAATTTTAAATAAATTACGTCTGAATCACACCGTCTGAAAAGGCGTCCCAAGCGCTTTCGGAGAGTCTGGCGCGGCGACGCCTCGCAGGACTCTGGGAGGCGTGTAGGTTACCGCGGCTGGCGCACTTCGCATGCAAGGCGGAACGCCTTGCCGCAACAGTCGCGTGCAAGGCGGAATGTCTTGCACACGGCGGCACGTGCAAGACAGGTCGACGACACCTTGTGCGCGAGCCCGCGGCCCCGGGCGACGCCTCGCGGAGACTGTGAAGCTGCGCTGGGCGCCGCGGCCGCGCATTTTGCATGCAAGACGGAACGCCTTGCGCAACGGTTGCGTGCAAGGCGAAATGTTTTGCGCACGGCGGCGCGTGCAAGAGGGGCGACGCACCCGAATCGTTCCGAAAGCGCCCTAATTGCCACAGAAATCTTCCGAATTGTTCCAAAAACCCCTGAAATGATTCCGAAAAATTCCTCAATTTCGACCCGAATTCCGGGAAACAGCCGCTAAAAACTATATAAAACGATGTGAACACCCGCTTGCCCACCCGCTGGAAAGCATATAACCTGGGCCCAGGCAAGCTTTCCCAAGCTTGACTGCGCCGAGCTTGGGAAACCTCTGATTCCCCAAGCTTGGGAACCCAAGCTCCCCCCAGCTTGACTGAGCCAAGCTCGTACACCACAGGTTCCCCAAGCGTGGCAAACCCAAGCTTCCCCCAGCTTCACTGAGCCAAGCTTGGGAAACCCCTGACCCCCCAAGCTTGGGAAACTCAGGTCCCCCAAGCTTGGGAAACCCAAGGTTCCCCCAGTTTGACTGAGCCAAGCTTGGGAAACCCAAGGTTCCCCAAGCTTGGGAAACCCAAGCTTCCCCAAGCTTGACTGAGCCAAGCTTGGGACGCACTAGGTTCCCCAAGCTTGGGAAACCCAAGCTTCCACCAGCTTGACTGCGCCAAGCTTGGGAAACCTCTGGTTCCCCAAGCTTGGGGAACCCAAGCTTCCGCAAGCTTGACTGGGACATCCTTGGAAACCTCTGGCCCCCAAGCTTGGGGAACCTCTGGTTCCCAAGCTTGAGAAACCCCATATAAGGAATCCAATGTAGAGAAGCCCCACATAGGGAATGCCCGCATGGGGAAACCCCTATGGGGATTCCCCGCGTAAGGAACCCTAATATGGGAAATCCCCAGATGGGGATCCCTCATAAGGGGGGTCCTCGTATGGGAATACCCCGTACGGTGCGTCGCATATACGGAATCTTCGTGTGGGAAAACCCCATGCAAGGAATCCCTATATGGGGTCTCCTCATGTTGGGGGATCACCATGTTAGGAATCACCATTTCAAGAACCTCCATGTGAGGAATCCCCATGTAGGGAATCTCTTATTTGAGGATTTCCTATATTAGAACTCCGTATATTAAGGCCCCCATACATGGGGTTCCTTGTATGGGGATTCCTTGCATGGGGACTCTCTATATGAAAGGGGTTTCCAACATTGGGATTCCGTACATGGCGATTTCCCGTATGGGTATTCCCCATATGGCGATTCCCTATGTTGGGTTTCCAAATGGGGATTGCCCATGCGGGAACTCGCCATGGCAGCCCCCGGAACTCTCGCAACTCCCGTAGTCCGGACAGCCGCTGCCCCTTGACTCAAACGCAAAGCGCTGGCGCGGACAGGAACCGTATTCTTTTCAAACGACGGGGGCCAGCGCAGCGCGCCCTTACCCCTTGACTCAATCGCAAATCGCGCGCGCGGTCAGGGACCGTTTTTTCTCCGAATGACGGGGGCCAGCGCAGCGCGCCCGTGCCGCTCCACTCAAACGCAAAGCGCGTGCGCGGGCAGGATTCTTTTCCAAATGAACGGGGGCCGCAATGACGCGACTCGACGGCGTGGCGTTGAGCTCGACTGGCAGCCCGCTCCGCGCAGACCCGCTGCCCACGCGCCCCGCCGCCCCCGCGCCCCGAACAAACACCACGGGCCCCAGAGCTTCGTCAGATGTCGCCCTGGACCCCGCGACCGCCGCGCGTGCCTATCGGGGCAGTCGCCGCCAGCGCCGCTACCAACGCAAGGATTCTCGCCCAAGCGGCCCTCGCCCACGGGGCCCTCGCCCACGCTGCAACGAAGAATTGAGCCTGGAGCCAAAATGGCAACGAGCCAAAATGGCGACGAGGGAGGAGGAGGAGAGGAGGAGGAGGGGAAGGAGGCGCAGGAGGAGGAGGGAGAAGCGCGGGCGCGGGACAAGAGAAACCCAAACACGGAGAAACTTGCCTGCAAAACCTCCTCCTGCTCCTGCTGTCGAACAACGGCGGCCGCAACTGCAGCGGCGATGGCGCCCCGCCGGACCAGTGCTGGCACGAAGCGCGCGCCTGTCGCCATATCCTCGTCCTTCTCCGCCTCCTCGTCCTCCTCCCCCTCCGCCTCCTCCTCAGGGGTCCTGGTGTTTCCTGGTCCCTCCTGGGCTCAGGGGTCCTGGTGCTTCCTGGTCCCTCCTGGTCCCTCCTGGTCCCTCCTGGTCCCTCCTGGTCCCTCCTAGTCCCTCCTGGTCCCTCCTGGTCCCTCCTGGTCTCTCCTGGGTCCTTCTGGTCCCTCCTGGTCCCTCCTGGTCCCTCCTGGTCCCTCCTGGGCTCAGGGGTCCTGGTCCCTCCTGGCCCCTCCTGGCCCCTGACCCACAACCCAGGCACTTATGTTATCGTATGTTTTGGGTTATGTTTGCGTTGGCACTTCTTCTGTTTTGTACTACTTGTTTTGTTTTTTTTCGGCTCTCTGCCCTGCCGGACAGCTGAGTACCCAGCGCGCGGCTGATGACACAGAGCGGTCGGCGCACGGCTCGCGCAGCTGGCACGGTACGTATAAAGCAAATCGCGCACCATCTTTGCGCGCCAAACGCGCGCCAACATGAAAGTAATGTACTCATGGAAGTGCCATTTCTTCTTGATGTGTCTGGGATCCCATGCATTTTTCCTCACGGTAACTTCAGGTCTGGGGCGCCCGCAGCAACTCACTCGTCAGGGACGGGAATGCGATCTCTCGTGCTCTTGTCCTCTCTGTTCCAGAACACGATGGCCTCCCGGTACCCGGCCTTCCTGCTCTTCACCCAATCCTCGCCAATGCCGAGGCCCCTCACGCCGAGCCTCTTGATCTTGGCCTCCTTGTCGGTCGTCTTGTAGTGGGCGCTCGCTCCACGCCCTGACAGAGGGGTGCCATGTGATTTTGCCCGCGATCGCTGGGCACCCGTCCGAAGCGATCTGGAATGATGGCTTGGACCGCGAATCCGCCCTCAACCGGATCGTCGTGCTGTCCTCGCGCATCTTTGTCTGGATGTATTTGATCACGGCCATGATGGACGTCTCCGTCGCCTCGATCAAGTACGGCTTCTCCCGCGCCCTCACGAAAAGGTCTGTGTCGCCCAGCTGCGCGGTCACGGCGTCCACGTTTGAAGGCGTGCCGCGCCGCCGAGGCCTGTTATCCTCCGCGCCGTCCTCCTCGTCGAAGCCCACGGCCTGCGCGGAAGCCTGCAACTGAGCCCTCGGGTCCGTCTTCGAGAAGATCCCCTCCTTGAGCACGCCTCTGAGGTTGCTGATCGCGTACTGGAAACCACGGGACCAGTGAGTCTGGCCGCGAGACTCATCGCAGGCCCGCCGCAGCCATGAACTATTCTCGGACAGCGGGAAGAAGTGGCGGTCGCCCCGTTTGACCAATGGGTGCACTACGCAAGGTGTCTTTATCTTCGGGCCCCACGCGGCCAAGCGACTCACCACCTGCACCCCCGCCGGAACCCCACCGCTTGAGCCCCACCGCTTGAGCGTCCGGCCGCGCGGCTTCGGCGCTGCCTTCTTCAAGTGCTTCTTGGCGACTCCGCGCTGGCGGCCGCCGCGAGAGGGAGCGCCGGCGCTCGCTGCCATCGCTGAGACAAGCGCCGGCGCCGGTGCCTCTGGCGGCTGCTCCTCGCCCGGGTGGTCATCGGCTGCATCCGTCCGCGCCTGCCGTTCCAAGTCCTGCAGCGCCGCCTGCTCCGCTTCTTGGGCCCCGCCCAGCAGTGCCGGCCCCTCCGCGTCCAGCTCCTCGTCGGAAACGAGCCACGGATCACCCATTCCGCTGGAGGAGGCCGGTGCTCGCGCCTGCGGGGCGACGCGGCGTGGCGGCGGAGCCCGGGTCGGGCGAAAGGGTGGGATAGCAAAGGGGGGGTTTGAGAATCAGCTCACGTAGCTGATTTTCCCGGCGCCTCCCGGCGCCGGAGGCGGCTATGTATCGAGGAATGGGCCCCTCGGTGAGGCCGAAACCAGCTGCATGCAGCAAATTGCGTAACCCCCCCTTTCCCAATCCCACCCTTTCGCCCGGCCCGAGGCTGGCGCTCTGCTGCTCGCCTCCTCGGGGGCCGCCGGGCCCTTGAGCCGCGACGGCGAGAATGATGATGGCAATGCTTATGATGATGGCGATGGTGATGACGGTTCTGGTGTTCATGGCGGCGGTCAGTGCTCTGGCAGGGTCGCAACGAGGAAGTTCGAGTCGTCGTTGCGCGGGCACAACGACGACGTGCTCGAGGGGTCGGCCCCGGGGCCGGTGGCTGGCCTGAGGGCGCTGACCCACAACCCAAGCCTCAGGTCTCTGACCCGCAACACAGGCATCCGAAGTGTCCATGACACACAACCCAGGCAAGGCGGCGAGCCTCAGACGACATGCGTCCGAAGTGTGTCTGACCCACAACACAGGCATCCGAAGTGTGTATGACCCACAGCCCAGGCATCCGAAGTGTGTATGACCCACAGCCCAGGCATCCGATACGTCTCATAACCACAACCCAGGCACTTGTGCATGCATATTTTGTATTGTTTTTTTTTTTGTTTTGGTGTTGCTTGTTATGTCATTCGGCCATTGGGGCTCCTGGGGGGTGGCGCTTGGGACCACACGAGGATCCGCCACTTACGCCACCCCCAGGATGCCCCAGTCCACGTCGCGAGATGTTGTTCCCTGACGCACAACCCAGGCATCAAGGGTGCCCCTCACACGCCACCCAGGCACGGTGGCGAGCCCGAGGTCCCTAACGCACAACCCTGGCGTCAGAGAAGTGTCATAACCACAGCCCAAGCACTTGTGTTTTCATATTTCTTGGGCGCTATTTTGTCCTCGTTGTTATGTCATCAGGTCCCTGACGCACAACCCGGGCACCCGAGATGTCTCTGACACACAACCCAAGCACAGCGGCCAGCCTGAGGTCTGTGACGCACAACCCAAGCATCCGATAATGCTCATAACCACAACCCAAGCACTTCTGTTTCCATGTCTTTTTGGATATTTGTTGTTGTCATTTGTTATGTCGTGAAGTCCCTGACGCACAACACAGGCATCCGGTGTGTCTCTAACGCACAACCCAAGCAAGGTGGCGAGCCAGAGGTCCCTAACGCACAACCCTGGCACCCTCGAGACCTCCAAACCACAACCCAGGCACGTGTGTTTATATATATGTTTTGTTCTTTTTTGTTGTCATGTGTTATGTCATTAAGTCCCTGACGAACAACCCAGGCATCCGATATGTCTCTGACCCACAACCCAGGCACGGTGTCGACCCTTCTGGGGCTCCTTGGGGGTGGCGCTTGGCCTGAGGGCGCTGACCCACAACCCAAGTCCCAGGTCTCTGACCCACAACACAGGCATCCGAAGTGTCTGGGAGACACAACCCAGGCAAGGTGGCGATCCTCAGACGACATGCGTCCGAAGTGTGTCTGACCCACAACCCAGGCATCCGAAGTGTGTGCGACCCACAACCCAGGCATCCGACAAGTGTCAGGACCACAACCAGGGCACTTCAGTTCTTTTGGTGCTGCCGGACAGCTCCGTACCCAATGCGCGGCGGCACATCGACGACGTGCTCGGGAGGTCGGCCCCAGAGCCGTTGGCTAGCCTGAGGGCTCTGGCACAAAACCGAAGCCTGAAGTCTCTGACCCACAACCGACGCATCCGCAGTGTCTGTGACCCACAACCCAGGCACTTATGTTTTCATATGTTTCTCTTCTCTTTCGTTGTGTTTGTTGTTTCGTTGTGGTGTCATTATTCTGTTTTGTTGTTTCTTCTTTTTTCGGCCGCCTACCCTGCCGGACAGCTCAGTGCCCAATGTGCGGACATTCGGGCGGCGAGCTGCAAACACTAGCACTACCCCGCAGTGACTGCGGCAGGGATGGCAGGCGGCCACTCGTGCACGCCCTCTGGGTACGCCTCTGGCCCAAGCCACGTGCTAAGCAAAATGATCGCGTACACGAACGCTTTCGGAGCCACCATGCCGCACGTCTCCAGCAGGGCGGGAGGCTGCCACCGTCTGCGGAACAGGTCCGCGCCGCCAGGGGCGCACTGGTTGATGAGCCGGTGCAGGGCGGCGGCGGCGTCCGCCGCTCCTCCCCGGCCGCCCTCCGTCGCCCAGGCCTGGCCGAAGAGAGTCCACTCGAACTCCCTCGTGGTGGACGGTTTCCCCCGGGGCCGTAGGCGACTCAGGAGGCTCCCCAGGGTTGGTTTTAAAGCTCGGGCCCGACAACGGGCCCCTGAGGCCAAACTCGAAGAAAAACCTTCGAGTTTAGGAGGTCCACGAAAAACTCCACGAAGAAACGGCGAAAAGTCCAGGAGGAGGAGGAGGAGGACGGGGTCGCCGAAGCCCTTCCGAGAAACCGTCCAAACCTCGTGCACAACACGCGTGTCCGGGCGCCGCGGGGACCCACCAGCGCGCCCATGGAGGCCGCGAGGCGCGGAGCTGTCAGCGTCTTGTCGTCGACCCACAACTCCGGCACGCGGATCGTGCGCTCCACCCGCGAGGAGCCCACCAGCCTGCGAACCCTGTCCTGCAACGCCGTCGCCTCCGGGGGGGGCAGGCGGCGCCTCCGCGCCACCAAGCGCTCGGCGAGCATCACGGGGTAGTCCACCTGCAACCACCGCTCCTTCGCGCGACGGGTCGCCTCCAGAGCCAGCCGCTCATTGGCCTCCCTCCGTGCGGCGGCGGCCTTGTCCAAAGCCGCCATCCGGGCCTCGGTGGCTTGCCGTTTCGCGTCCACGACGCGAACCTCCTCGCGCCGCTCGGCCGCCTGTCTCTCCCGCTCGGCCTCCCGCGCGGCCTGCCGGTCCGCCTCGCGCAGCCGCTGCGCCTCCTTGGCGGCCTGCCGGAGCCGCTGCGCCTCTGGGGCATCGTACGTCCGCCTCTTCTTGTGGCTCCGCTGGAGCTCGGCTCTGCAGCTCTTCAAGAACCGATCGTTCCGCGTCTGCTGCGCCACGACCATCACGTGGTTCAGGGCGGACAGGTACGCGGCCTCGGTGCACACGCCGCCGTGGTCTCCTGCCAAGTCGCCGGGGCCTTCCTCGGGCGCTCCTCCCGGCTCTGCACCGCCGCTGTCCCTCTCGGCGCCGCCAAGCTGGGCGCCGCCGTCTCCTGCCAGGCCGGCAAGTCCTCCTCTCGCTGGCCCTGCTGCAGCAGCTGGCTTCTGAGCCACACTGCGTGCTCAAGCATGAGCGACGAGTCACCGCGCGACGTCAAGGACCCAGAGCTTCCTCCGAGCATAAAAATATTCCAGCGAATACGTTTTTCCGGGAAGAATTGTTTTTTCCGGAAATCATGTTTTCATCGAACATGACCACATTGGAATTATAACAGGAATATTTAAAGATTTAAGTTGGAAAAACAGACATTAAAGAATAAAATATTCCGGGTAATCGTGGTGACATAAGATAATCGGCAACATGTGTTAGTATTGCCTATATGGTGTTATTATATAATGAGATCATTATATATAATATGATGTATAGTACGTAGACTCGTAGGTGTAGGTGCCTACCGTGCTCCGCGGGGGTGTGTTCGCACATCACCTGCGGGGCAGCTCGATGATTTTAGGCCCGTCGGTCATAAGGAAAAAAAAAAACTCATCCTCCTCCGCTCCTTCTTCCTCGCCCTCCTCTTCCTCATCCTCCTCCTCCTCCTCTGGGGGCGGTTTGCGTCGTCGTTTTCGTTCAGCAGAGCCGCGATCTGCTCAAGATGGGCAGGGTCAAGTGCTGGGCCCCCACAGGGCCCGAGTCAGCGGCTGATGAGTTGCTGGCCTGCATCGCACCGACGCTCGAGGCGGCCCTCGAGGGCCACTACAGTCCGCAGGACATGAAGCTCAAGGGCGGAGCTGACCAGGATTTCAATCTAAAAGGGCCCCACCTCCTCTCCTCGCCCCTTCTCGCTTTCTTCGTCCTCGTCCTCCTCCCCCTCAGCCTCCACCTCCGACTCCTCCCCCTCGAACCTCCCCCATATCCAATCGTTCTCCTCGCATTCGCCCTCTCTTTTTGGCTGCCTTCGCCCCTCCCCAGGCCTACCTCGAGAAGGCCAGCGAGTCGCTGGAGAAACTCTTCACCCTCGACCCGAGGGGCGCGTATTTCACGCAGGAGGACATGTTGGCCGCCGTCAAAAAGGGGATGCAGGATGTTCCTCCCCCTCTCTCCTCCTCCTCCTCCTCCTCCTCCTCCTCCTCCTCCTCCTCCTCATTCCTCCTCCTCCTCTCCTCCCCTCCTCCTCCTCCTCCTTCTCGTCCTCGCTCGTCCTCCTCATGCCTCCTCCTCCTCCTCCTCCTCCTCCTCCTCCTTCTCCTCCTCCTCCTCCTCCTCCTCCTCCTCCTTCTCCTCCCCCTCCTCCTCCCCCCTCCTAGCTTGTCCGCAACCTCCTCTCGCTCAGGACGAGAAGGACTCTAAGAAGTTGGCGGACAAACTTCACCTGTGCGCCTTCAGGCTCAAGAGCTCGGAGACGGAGGCGGGGCCGACAACTGTCCTCATCCCCCTCAATCCTCCATTCCGGCAACCCACTCCTCCTCCTGCTCCCCTCCTCCTCCTCCTCCCTCCTCCTCCTCTCCCCTCCTCCTCCTCTCCTCCTCCTCCTCTCTCCTTCCCCCCCCCCCCCCCTTTCCTTCTCCGCCCTCCGTGCCCTCCCCCTCTCTCCTCCCCTCCTCCTCCTCTCTCCTCTCCTCCCCTCCTCCTCCTCCTCTCCTTCCTCCTCTCCTCCTCGTCCTCCCCGTGATCCCCCATCCTCATTCCTCCCGCGCCCTCCGCCACCCCCTCCTCCGAATTCCTCCCCCCCCCCTCCTCGACGGCACTGGAGCGCATCGCCTACAGCTACCGCGGGATGTGCAGCCACGTGCGCCAACGCTACGACCAGGTCCAAACGAACAGCGAGCCAGACA